CAGTTTATATACAGAAAACAAAGATTAGAGGGGTCTTTTTACTATTTCTTCTTAAAAAGTAGATGTTTGCAGAGATTAAGTTTCTAAGTTGCTAAATGATATCTTCTTTTGTTTCCTATCAAGTTAAAAGCCACTTAAAAAAAAAGTAGATGAGGGTCAAGTAATGTCTCGTAAGAGGAAGGGGTTATTTTCAAATTGAAAGAGTTTACAGTAGCACATTCCATGTTTAAATTTCAGCACAGTTCTGAGAAAATCTGAGGGCTTAAAGAACTGCATCCCAATACTAATAACTGTAGCACGGTGAGTGGAGGCAACCACAAGCAAAAGAGACAGAAAGCGATCAGAGTATTTGTCAAAGCATCACCTAAATTACGCTATCAGTCTGATTGCTTGACTGGGTCAGAAAGAGAAAAGCCATGCTGGGCACAGAGCCCGAAATGTGGGGGGTGGGACTCAGATCCCCAGAGATGCCATGCAGGCCAGGGAATGAGGGGGCAGAGGTGAGTGCTGAGTGTGACTCAATCCAAGGTAGCCTCAGGGGCTAGCCCAGAGGGTGACTCCAAAACACTAATGATGGAAAGAATAATCTGGAAATCACACTCCCCTCCCCCCCCCAACGAGGACCAATGACACTAAAGTTAAAGAAAGAGGGTCTTTGTAGGAGTGGCTGAATCAAAGCAAAGCCAGTGGTTCAATACTTTGGTGTTTATGAAATGACCCTCAGGCTATGTTTTACTCTTTCAAGTTGGAAGATATTGGGAGGGGGTGGTAATGGCAGGGCACCAGGTTTTTTTGTTTTTGTTTTTTTAAGTATTTGTAGAGCAGCATTAAGATGGGATGTGTCTGGGTTGGGGGAGAAACAGTTTAAAGTTGGCTTCTTTAACAGACAACCTTAGCTTTATCTTGGATTTTTATTATCAGGAACAAGGAACAAGGTGGGTTTCCTAGGCAGCAAGTCCTGGTTCTGGTTCTGCTCTTGGCCCTAACACTAGAAACTTGCTATGTATTGCCTTGGACCAGTCAGAGCCTCTCCAGATTGCAGTTCCTTCCTCTTCCCTAATGTAATTTGGGAGAATCAAGGACATTCACAAACAACCATGGCGTCAATAGCTTAAAAAAAATCTTCCCTTAGCTCCTCAGTTTCCTTCATTCAGATCTCTGACCAAATGTTACTCCCTCAATTTCTCTGAATACCCCACGTAAAATAATACACTCCCATCTCAACCTCTCACTAGATTATCCCGCTTTGTTTCTTGCCAGTCTCCACCTCCACATGAAATTATGAATTCCCTCACTCACTCATTGCCATGATTCCCACTAGAAGAACTTCTGTAAAGACTCTGAGTAGTATCATGTCTAGACCAGTGATTAGTACATAGCAGTGCTCAATATCTGATAAATTAAGATTGTCATGGGACCTTAAAAAATAACAAGGAATGCCATACACATGGGACAGAATATTATGTTGGCCAATCCTGAAGATTAGTTACCCAAATGACAACAATTCCCTCTGACCCTGAACATCTTCTGACTCCATGCCTCAGCACATGATTTTGTTCTTCCATTTGTCATTTAAATATAATGGCATGTTTATATTTTTCTATTAATAGATTATCTAATGTACAACATGGTCCAGACTAGAAATTCCTCCCATTTGAACCTCCAGGTTATATATGAACAGAATAAATTAATCCTTCCAGAATGAATTCCATCAATTAGTGTGCTCAAGTGGGAACGAGAGGACTGCGGGACAGGTCAGGGGGAGGAGTACCGTTTTCATGTTTAAGTAGTCCTTTCTTTTTTGCCCTGGTTCTTTTTCCTGTTTGCCTCCTTTTATCACAGTCTTTCATGATCCCCTCTCTCTTCTTTCTCTAGCCTCTTACCACCTTTGTGGCTAAACCACAGGTCACAGGCCGATTTAAGGAGTCTTGCTTAGTCCGTGAGGGTGGACTACCTGTGAGGTGGCAGGATGAGGGTGAAAAGCTGCCACATGTTAAAAGCTTGGCAAATGCACGGCACAGCTACTGGAAAAGCATTCAGTCCTTTTGTCATGAACAACGCTCTCGGGCTTATGTGACAACCACAAAACTTGCCAGTATCTTTTGGCAATTTGTCTTAGAATCATTGGATTTTAGAATTGGACTGGATCTTAGAAATACATCCCCCGTAATACCCTCAATTTACAAAATGAGGAAATAGAGGCCAAGAGAGGTTAAGTGACTTGCCAAGGGTCACAGAATTAATGAGTTGACAGGGTGCAGAGACCCAGATCTCGTGATCGCCAGACCAGAATGAGTGTCAGAAAAGCCCCCAAAAAACTCTGCAAGTAGGTCATCAGAAATAAAAAGATAACTAATCAAGAAGAAAAGTTTGGGAATGAACACTGAGTAATTTCAAGTGTAAATCAATCCATGACTTAAGATATTTTTTTGAAAAAGCAAATAAGCAGGCAATAATTAAGAAAAAAATAAGCTAAAATACTGTTTTTTTATCTTATAGCCATTTATTGTCTTGTTTTTAATAGATTTCAGTGTAATATCTTATACACTTAGTGACTATTCCATTTCGCTGACCTCTAACTCATGCCTTCCAGTAATCAAAAGCAGCTGATTTTAATGTGCTAGTGCTTTAGTGTGAAGGAGGTTAAGGCTGCATTTGTGTGCAATCAGGTTAAGATTGGCTCCAACAGGAGAGAAATCCATACATATGTTGAAAAGATCTGAAAAATGCCTGTATTCCCAACCTGATTACGACTACATTTTTGCATGGTTTGTCAAAGCAGATCACTGAAATCAAGTCAAGATGTAAAATGGGATAAGGTGGTTTTCTTCTCCATTCTTCCATTAATCACCATGACCTATGGAAGAAAGGAACTTTTCCCTCTCTCACCTGAGGCAAGGTGGGATACTCCACTGGAAGTTATGCCAATTTTATCAATTGGTGCTCAAGTTCCAAAATTAATTTTCTACTTTTCCTTTCCTACATTTGTAAACAGAAGTTTTTATTGGAGAGTAACTTTCCATTTCTATCAACAATTCTATTTTCGTTTTCTTTTTACAAAACATAAACCAGTCAACAAATTCTAACTCCCCTTTTTAAACCTACTAACTTTAAAGGTTATATAAATATTTAATTTATTCAACCGAAAATGTAGATACAGAGATTAGAGTGATAGCTGCTCTCTCCTAGTAAATAATATTTGGTACAACCTAAATATGAGCTAAATCAGAGTTCATTGCTGGTTCACTTGTCAAAAAAGATATTAGCAGATGACACACAAACATTTGTTTTGACATAATTTCAACGTTGACAGTATCAGGTTATGTCTTCTATGAAGACAGTATACTGTTGCTGGAAGCAAAAAATATATAAAAATGCAATAAAGATTAGAGGTTAACAACGTCGCTGTTATCTACAAAATTCTCCAGCAAGACTGGGGCTAGGTCAAAATAATTTTGGAGGGGAGGGGAACGTGCTGGTTCTTGTTACACATAAGCATGTTTGTTATAGGAGCATTTTCGGGTTAATTTTTGCTATTAACGTAAACCACAATTGGGGGACCACATTGCTGGAAGAGGAATGGTGGGGGGTAGTTACATAAACAATATACAACAAAGAAAGTCTTTATTTCCAATACCTGCATACATCAGGTTTGTTTTTAGGCACAAGGTTGCAGGTTAAATGCTCTCAGCTATCCAAGAAGTGGCTTATTAGTTTTGTAAGAAAATATTTTCTTTTATTTTGACTGAAAAATACTCAGTTTAACTGAACAAAACCATCCTTGTTAGTGAAAAGCAGACCCAAAAAAACTTTGTTTCAAAGACCCAGCAAAGAAAAGCAAAACTAATTCAAGAGGGAAAGCTGCCTTCCTCATGGTAGCTTCTGAATCTGGATCTAATAGTTCTCAAAGGCCGACCGGAGTCTTCAAGTCTTAAAAGCTTTGTCTTCCTCCATGGATCACAGACATCCCTATGTGGAAGGCCGATAGGAATATAAATCCATTTAAGCAGATATATATTCTCTTTCTGGGCTACAGCCACAGAGCTGGAAAGCTATGCACCAACAGTGAGAATGAAGGCAAACAAACGTTTTGATTATTTTCAAGGGCAATTTTCCAAACACCACTTTCTTTTTTGCTTTTTCTATTTTGCGCACTAGAAAAATCCCCACTTCATCTCTGGCAACATAGCATCCATTAGTGTTAAAATGAGAAGCGATGATGCTTTCAGAACCACAGCAACAATGCTAAAAACTGCATTTCCCCATCCTGACTTGGCTTCCTCCAGCACCTGAGCTATGTTCGCTTCTCCTAATTTGTAAATAGGCCGAATCCTGTTATTACAGAATAATTACTGCAAATCAGCACAATTACTACAAAGACATGAATAAACACACACATACCAGTAGCTGTTTTCTACAAATTATTATCAAAACAAAGGGAACCGGCTAATTGTGGTAACATTAAGACAACATTTATTCCTCCCAGTGTTTGGGCAAGTTTATTTTAAGTTGTCATCTTCAACTAGTAACGATGCAGATGATTTTACAGATTTCATAAACCTTTCTAATCTAAACTCTTCTCTACTGAAAGTTGGCCGCTTCCCTCACAGCAACATCTGCAAAGGCCTGATTTCCTAAGAACCCGCTTTTATGGTACATCAGCAACACACACACATACACACACACACACACACACACACACACTCTCTCTCTCTCTCTCTCTCTCTCTCTCTCTCTCTCTCTCTCTCTCTTCTAGAAATCTCATTTTAGAAAGCTCATTTGTCATGCACTCTTCTAAATCATTTTCAAGGCATCATGAAAATGAAATACTCACTTTATATTCTTCACAATTTAAGCAGTTGTCTCTAAAGTGAGTACAGTGTGAAATTTTACCCTGTCACTGATGTTATTACTAGGTTTCCTTTGTGGATAGATGCTCTAGGGGGAGGAGAATTCAGAAAGCACACAGCCCATGCAGGACAGGAATTCTCTAAACTCACCTCCTGGACAATGCCTCATGGCCATCTTACATCTCCTGGATTCGGCGATGGTTGGACATGGTATCGTATCCTTTGCTGGCTTTTTAACAATTTGCCGTGTTCTGGTTTCCAGACCCCATTTAAATCCACATGTGCGATTATTTCTGCTACAAGTTCCCCATTCACTCCAATGACCAACTTCACATCCTTCTAATAAAGAAAAAAAAAAAACAACACAGATAACTTGGTCTCCATTTGCCCCGCTGCCATCAAATTTATATAGCTGTATTTCCCCACACCCCCCTTCAGATAAATTAAGTTGTACAGCCCACAAAGACCTGTATTCTCTTTTTGGATGCTTCAATTCTTTGAACCATAGAGTTACTTTCATCTACAATAAGCAACTACCACATAAGTAATTTAAAAACTATTACTTTGTATTTGTCTTAGTTCATTTTTTGAAGGACTGCTATTGGTCCATTCTAAAGACACTGAAATATATACTCTTTAAAAGATTCAACAACTAAAACCTACAGAAAAAGATCCTCTTTTCAAACAATGACAGAAGACATACTTTTACGTGTTAATTCTGAATGCCCCCATAGTAACTCACAAGTATGTTAGTTTTATTTCGGAAGTCAGTACTTAGTGAAAAGGATAGGGAGCTTATTTTGCATTTTCTGGTTATCTCAATTCTTTCAATAGGTACCTAAAAACCACTGTATGTACTCATTTCCTAAATTGGTGCTCTATCTCACTATAATTAGATACAGTCAGATATTTGAAAATGTTTGTTTATATGTAAAAGCTTTTAGCATCTCCTTTTGTAAATTCATATGGTAGAAATGTCAGCTATCCTCCAAACCCCTGAGGTAGATAATAAAAGGATAAAAATATGCAAAGTTAAACCTCACCAAATTCACTATTAAAATGCCCTAGCAGATAAGGACCCGGGCCTGGAGTCCACACACAGTATTTTAGCATTTCTGATCTCAGCAGGCATCGTGGTTACTCTGAGATTTTTCAAAGTTGTTTAAGATTTTTATTCACGGAAGTGTGTAGGACTCTATTTGTAATTTTTTATATTTAAGGATTTTTAAGAGTTTCCACTTAATATTTATAATGGGGGTGGATCTTGCCTCTCAAAAGCAAATTCAACATTCTGAATATTCTGTTATAGTGACTTTTTTAATAGAATGTCACCTGTATGAATGTACAAACCCACACAGAAACAGGAACATAAGTACACATTTCTTCAAAAACCTGTCATTTAAAGGTGTTCTCTGCAAACCTTCAAATATATAATTACAGACTCAACAATATTTCTGCAGAAAAGAAGTCCTTACTTTTTTTTAAGTCTCCATTCTAAGGTGCTGGAAAGTCTCGTTTATAATATGTAATTCTGTTATAGATCATATCAGATGTATAATATGTTAAATAAAATTTGGGGGTGGGGACAATGCCATTACACCTGGAGATTAGATTCATTGGATTAGGTATTCATCAAAATGTAGGTACTATAGATCTTTACCTTTTCATCAGTTGTATAAAAATATCAAAGTGTTTTTCAAACACTACAAAAGTATAAAATTTATAAAATGTATATTCCTAATTATTCATGAGCAGTGTACACATGTATATTAAGTTATGCATTCTAGATAAATTCAGTAAAACATTGTTTTAATATACCTTTGCAACATGCAATCATCAACAAAATCAATTTGGCACAAAAAATTTCTTTCCAATTTTTTAAATGGCTAAACAAGAAGCACCATAATTAAGCTACATAACAAAAGTGACAGAACAGTTAACCACATGGTACTGCTTGTAAATTTTGTTCTTTTACACAAAATGCTTTTCTCTAACAGTTATTAATAATTTAAGGTAAAAAAGGTTATGTGTTACAGATGATAAAGCCATACCAGCACTTAAATAGTTGAACTAGGCAACACACAACTAGCAAATTTGTAGCAAGATTTAGTAGACTACCGATGTCCTGATGCCCCCAAAATTCAGCAAGTCAGCAAAGAACTTAAATAATTTTCAGTTCTAATTAACAAGAGAACCAATTTGTTTTTAAGTTGAATATATCCAGCATGCATTATTTTTCAAGAAACAGGTGTTAAAATAAAAGTTTGAAAGTTACATGAAAAACTACTCACCCACACATTCCATGGTTTCATCTAATGGTGCAAAACCATCTGGACATTCATCAAAGCAGCGGCCTCTATGCAAATAAAAGCCTACTTTGCACTTGGTACAAAAGTCTTTGCTAAAGCAAGAATCACAGTTTTCTATTCTGCATCCTAAAAACAATTTTAAAGAAAAAAAGAACATTTCAGTCAAAGAAATTTACTTGTTTTGCAAATAACACTCACAAATTTACCAGTTAGCTCCATCGAAATTCTAGTAGTCAAAGAAATATGCGTTCAACTCATTTGTTTGCTAATGCCATCACATTCTAAATCACTCCTACCTCTTCCAACAAACAGCTCACCACATCAATAGGCTGACAGCATTCCAGCCTAGGCCTTAAGCAGCATAAGACCCTTCAGAAAATTTTGCAACTACAAATGAGATGAAAACAAAGGATTAAAAAGAAAAAGCAAACACGCCCACTACAAATCTCATTGCTGCTGAGATTGAAATCTGTTCTGCTCTTCAAAAAACCTATAGTGAAAAACACAATGGGAATATTCTAATCAGTATCTTCTGTTTCAGGACAGTAAATTAAAATCCTGTTTAATGCTGGTCAGTGCTGGCATTTACTTTCAGCAGAAGGTGTCTTAACTTGGAGGGGTAGTGTAGGTCACTAGTTTGCAAACCTACAATGTGCCAAAGGCTTTACATGCATTTCCATTTAGTCTTTATAATAATCCTACGAGGTGGGCGGTGGTATCCTTATTTTGCAAAAAAGGAACCTGAATTTAAGAGAAAGTCACACAGCTAATAGTGGCTGAGCTGATTCTGAGAGGCCCCCAAACCGATTGCCTTCTAAATCTGTAATATTTTCTCTATAATGCACTAACAGAGTATCACTAGTTGCAGTTTGTGAAAAAGAAGTGCTTTTTAGGTCTGCTAGGTCTGGGTTTGAATCCCAGCTCCGTTTTTAGCAGCTCTGTGACTCAGGACAACAATAGGCCTCTGAGTGTCTATTTCCTTCTGTATAAAACAGGGACATCACTGACTTTACAAGGCTGTTGAGAAGATTTGTACTGGCATATGCAAATCAACTGGAGATTAGAAATATGTATTTTTACAACAAAGTGTAAAAAGAAGAATGAATTTATAGGCTAAGTATCCTAGGTCAGATTCCCTGGTAGGCCAGTAACATCTGGACCAGAGAGAATTGGCTTGCACAGGTGAAAATATATTTTCTATATTTCTATATATATATATATATATACACTCTCTCTCTCTATATATATATAGAGGTCAGATTCCCTGGTAGGCCAGTAACATCTGGACCAGAGGGATTGGCTTGCACAGGTGAAAATATTTCTCTCTCTCTCTCTCTCTCTCTCTATATATATATATATATATACACACACACTCTCTATATATTTTATATTTCTATATAGAAATATATATTTCTATATATATATATATACTCTAAATATATGTATTTCTAAATATATACACTCTACTCTTCAAGTACAGGAAAGAAAAAGGAGGATTAAAAGCTCAGATTTTTAACAGATTATAGTACATATTACTTATAACAGATTTAATTGATGGCAATTAAGAATACATAAAGCTCTATGAAAACTCCATGGCAACACTTTTATTCATTTAATAAGCCTCTGAATGCCATTACTGTATTTGGTCCTTTAATGATTCAGAAAAAGGCTTAAGATGGACTCTTCCTGTAAGCAAAGAGATAATGGAACATAAAATAGAACCAAAACATGGAATCACTGAATATTTTGAAAATTGAGAAAATAAAAAGTTTTGTTGAAATAGATTATATTTTAAATAATGACAAGGTTCTGGATCTATAAAAAGGAAACGGCAATTCTTCACCTTTCAGTTTGGGGTCTCACAGGTCTTCATGCATTAAATGGCCACCATGAAGCAGCTAACTCAATCTGTGAAATGTTACCAAACTTACAATTGGAAAACCAACTATGTATGGGTGAAAGTCCATAGTCAAATTACACTACTGCTCTTTTGGGGAGGATGGTGGGTAAAGAAGAACAGTTTATCACCCCATAAAATGTGCATTTGTAATCTTAAATGCTGTAACCTATATTGTAATGAAATGGTGGTCTATAGCTGGTCAGTAGCTTCTTAATCATGGTCAAAACACATGACCATCATGTCCACAAATTGTTGGTTTTCTTGCCTTTTTAGAAAAGCAAGCAGCCCTTCCTACTAGCCGAATTATTCTCCAAGAAATGATAAACATTCCAAAGATAAAACAGAACTAAGGGGGGAAGAGAACAAAGCATTTATATTAAGAAAAGAGGACTGTACACTTTATAGATCAGCTGTTATCTACAAAGTCTGAGTTTTCTTTAAAACACGAGTTACACCAGTAAGCTCTTTGGCCTAAAAGTTATAGCAATAAGCATTTGGAAATAATGTTACAAGATCCTCTGCTAATCTTGACCGCTACTTGCAGAGCCCTAATTTCTTTCTTCATTTCATTCCATGGCCCTAATACCAGTTCATAGAATGTGAATTTCTGAAATACCTATCATTCTCTGTCAAGTCCCTTAGGACTTCTTCAGGCGTAAATCCTGCTAAAAGAAAGCTCGATTATTTGTCTTCAAATTTAAGTAGAATATCTGACGCATTCAAATTGTAGACTACTTCAGACATGAAAAAGCACGAGGTGAATTATGAGCAATGGCTGAGAATACGCTCTAAGATCTATCATTAAGTGAAAAAGGCAAGTTGCAGGATATAGAGAGTATGGTACAAGAAAACCGCATGTGCGCTCATGAAGGAGCTTAGAGAAGTTAATTTGGGAAAGGGGTGGTGGAATTTTGAAATAGGTTAAAAATTATCTATTTCTGAATCATATGAATCTTTTGTAATTGTAATGCATTTATGTATTAAAAGTAAAACAAGTTATTTCAATGACACCGTGACTTGCTTAAATTTACAGAAAATAACGCTATAATATAATGTTCTGAAACAAATTCTTTTGATTCCAACTGGCAAGAATGAATCAAGGAATAGTACTCCATCCCCAAGTTTTTCAGAATTGGAAATCCTGAAAAATTATGTACATGAAATTATACCCCTTATAATGTTGAATCTACCTTAGCCTCAAAATACCCAACTGTTTGGCCATCTCTTGTCCAGTATTCTTTGTTTCCATACGTTCAAGGGTGCTTTCCGTTCATTCAAGTCATTAGGGGAAAAATCCCTAAATATTTCTTATTCACAGAGCATTTAAACAAAAGCTTTGACTGGCACCAAGTCGTAACATCATCCAAAGCTCCGCTGACCTTCCTGGTCTCAGTGACTCCACCACAACATAAAAACCAGTGCAGGCGGCCCACAGCACTCAGCAGCCTCAACAGACACAACTCATCTAATCACCAACACCTTTGAACTGAAAGCTTTTTAAAGCAACCGCACAAACCACCTACCCTGACAATCTGCTCCTTGACATGCTTCTCAGAAACCTTTTCTCACCATCTCCAGCCCCATCCACAGCTCCCTGTCCTGTTCGACTACTTCTCCTAGAACTCACTCTTCTGCTTTGGAGAAAACCACTGTGGAGCCTCATAGTTCTAGGCTTTTCCCTTCAGCCTGTATCCACACTCCCAGAAATTTCTTCAACTGGTCATACTTAAGCAATTCAGATTCACATCAACCTTATTAATTCCTTTTTAGAAAAGTGAAACATTCTCATTATAAATATTCAAAACAGGTAAAGATACAGATATACTTTTTATTTATTTATTTATTTATTTGACAGAGAGAGACGCAGCGAGAGAGGGAACACAAGCGGGGGGAGTGGGAGAGGGAGAAGCAGGCTTCCCGCGGAGCAGGGAGCCCGATGCGGGGCTCGATCCCAGGACCCTGGGATCATGACCTGAGCCGAAGGCAGACACTTAACGACTGAGCCACCCAGGTGCCCCGATACAGATATACTCTTATTTACCTGAACGGTACATCAGGCCTGCTTCCCAGAAATAGCCATTGTATTAATGATCTGGGAAAACCTTTATGTTAATTTTATCAATAAATGAGTTTTAAAACACCAAGAGGATCATTCAACAGACTGGTGAACTTTAGAAAACCCTATACGGCTTAAGAAAACAGGAATACCAAAGTTTGCTAAACATGGGTCTCTATAAAAATCTGTACTTTAAGGCCTTGTTCAGAAATAAGACCATGGTTTAGCCAACTTACATGCCTCTAAATTACAGTGCCTCCTCAAAAATGTAATCCAAGCGAGCACTGCCAATATTGGTTTAAGTAAAATTACTGTTCAAGTGAGACTGTGTCCAAATACAATCTGATGGGGCTGTCATTTGGTGAGGGGAGCTCACCCTGGCCAAGAAACAAAGTAGGGTAGGTGCCCTCTCCTGCCCTTGCGTGGTATCCATACAGGCTCCATTATAACATTTTTCAAATTATACTTAGTTCAGTTCAACAGTTCATTCCAAGCATTCTCCAAAAATGGAGCACTTGCCAGGTATTGTACCAGGCCCTGAGAACATAAAATTATAATACCCATTCCCTGTCCTGGAGGGGCAAAAGCCAAAGGGAGGGGGCCACGAGGCACTCACAAACACTGCAACATAGCACAGTAGACGTTAAAGGCATGTGCCGTGTGTGGTAGAGATAGAAAAGACAGACCCATTTCTGTTCCGCCATTAGTTTTTTGTTTTTTTTTTTTTTCCTTTCAGTCTGTAAATTCTTTGTTTCTAACACAGTGCCGGATACATGGTGGAGTTTCCATGCTTCCCAAGTGAACTAACATAAGAGCCATTTAAAAACTCAATTCCTTTATATTTAAAAACTCATTTGAATGCTTAGTATGAGATCGCTTGCACATGCCCTGTAAATATCTTTAGAAAGAAAAGCCATGGTGGCTGGAAAGGACTGCAAATCTCATTGGAAGAATAGTCCAACACCTGAAAACAATTATAATAGAGAACATAAGTATTGAAGTGTGGTAGGTAATACAGGTCATGGAAGTTGGAACCTCAGGTGAGCAGGTTTGAGAGAGACAATGGGAAGAGTAGAGCCGTGGCCAGGGTGACTCCATTCACAATCACACAACAGAAAATTCACATGGCACGTGATGGACCCGTGAAGAGTGGCTTGAATGAGCCGGAGA